TTTTTTTTCTTTCTTTTAAATTTTAAATAATAAATTATCAATCTTTATTGTTGAAAAAGTAATAAAAAAATATAAATTGTTTATTAATTTTATTTAATTGTGGTTGATAATAAATAAAATTAAAAATCAGAGTCTTAAAAGTTCGTTATATTTGAATTGTCTTTCTGGTAGGTTTTAATTCTATCATGATTGTTAACATGAGACTTAAATTCTTCTTGATATAAAATGTCTTCACTTCTATCATTAAAGTCTTTAGTAGACTTTGAAAGATTCTTAAAGAAATTGAGAGAATCTTGAAATGAGAACATTCTATCAGTAATAAGTGGATGGGTACATTTATGAACTTTGTTAGTAGACACATCTATTCTACTACTATATATACTATCACATTTCTCATCAACCACCTCATTATCAATTAAACCATTTGAATCTTCATTAGATTTTGATAGATTCTTAAAGAAATCAAGTGAATCTTGGAATGAAAATGTTCTGTTAGGAACGAACTGTTGAGAATTTTTATGAACTTTACTAGCACTCGTTTCATTTACAATCTTATCAACTACCTTATTATCAATTAAACCATTTGTGTCTTTAATAGACTTTGAAATATTCTTAAAGAAATCAAGTGAATCTTGGAATGAGAATGTTGTGTTAGGAACGAGCTGTTGAGAATTTTTATGAACTCTACCGGTACTCGATTCACTTACAATTTTATCAACTACCTCATTATTAATTAAACCGTTTGAATCTTTAATAGACTTTGATAGATTCTTGAAAAAATCAAGTGAATCTTGGAATGAAAATGTTCTATCAGTTATGAGCGGGTTGGAGATCTTAGGAATTTTACTGATAGAAATATCTATTGTATTCTTATCACTGGTAATGCTTTCATTAATCTTATCAATTGCTCCATCAACCACTTTAGTAATTACACTATTAGAAGATTCATCATATTTACTTTGATTATGAGAAATTGATAAATTGTCAATTATATTTGATGATAAACTCTTCTTGTGTAAAAGATTTACATTACCTAATTTGGCACTTTCTTCTATAATATCTGGTAGATCATATACTTTAGTCTCTTCCTTCTTATCTCTACCACCACAGTTAAGCATCTGCTCTGAGTGTTCATTGAAAATACTTTGTCTATCCTGTCTGTCCATTATACATTGTTTACATAATTTTTCTTATATTACAAACCTGAAACAAAACAAAAACAAAAAAATTTATATGAAATTTTAAAAAATGATCTTAAAATGATTTAATATTATTTTAAATCTAAAATACAATATTATTTATATTACATCAAAATGAGGTAATTTCGACCATTGTTTCAGAAATGTAAACAAACCATTTTTATTTGAAATTACTTTAAAATTAATTAT